GTCAGCCAGTCGCCCTGGGAGCCGGGCCGGGAGTCGAGCCGGAAGTCGAGCCAGCAGCCGGAGAGGAAGTGATGCCTCTGACTTTGATCTTTTAGAGACACAGTCTGCTTGTTCAGATACTTCAGAAAGCAGTGCCGCAGGGGGCCAGGGCAACTCCAGGAGAGGGCTAAACAAGCCTTCCAAAATCCCAACCATGTCTAAGAAGACCACCACTGCCTCCCCCAGGACTCCGGGTCCCAAGCGATAACACTGTATAAGCACCCCCAGGCCTCTATCCACTTTGAATCCTGCTCCATGTATTGGGTGTATATTTATTCTGAACGGGAGAAGTTATATTGTTAAAAGTGTAAAAGAATAATTGTGTTATGAAGCTGCCTTATTTTTTTCTTTTTGTAAGTTACTATTTTCATGTGAATATTTATGTAGATAAAATTTGCCTCCTGGTAACCCTATAATGGATGGGGCCCAGAAATGAAATATTTGGAAAAAAAACAAATGAAACGGTCAAGATGCGAATATGTATTTAAAAAGAAAGAAAAAAGCCTCTAAATAGGGTTTCTGTGTGGTGCAGGGTTATAAACCTGCTTTATCTTTTAGGATTATTCCTAAATGCATCTTCTTTATAAACTTGACTTGCTGTCTCAGCAAGATAAATTATATTAAAAAATAAGAATCCTGCAGTGTTTAAGGAACTCTTTTTTTGTAAATCACAGACACCTCAATTAGCAAGAACTGAGGGGAGGGTACTTCTAATTGCTTTTTCCATTGTTTTTAATGTTGTGTGATTTTAGCTGAAGAGAGGGAACCTCACATAGGGAACATTTGCACATGATACAGCAAAAGGACTTCATTGCAATACTGTCTTTGAGTACTGTTTCAGTACTGGGTGTTCAAAGGAAAAATAGCTGCTAGAATTCAGGGGTGAATGTAACTAACAGTTCAGAAAACGTCAGAACATTTGGGTTTTTAAGAGTCCTGGTTTGTAACTTCCTAATCAGCCCGGCCACCAATAACTCCTGTGCTCACCAGGAACCAGGCCCTTGGCAAAGGGAGATCCTAAGTAGCATTGTGAATTACAGATTGTTATCCGTATTTTTTGCTATTTAAATGGTCAACTCCCCACAAACTGAGGAATGAATTCCACGAGCCTATTCTGAAAATGTGGACATAAGACAAACATTGCTCGTCCTTTAAAGGAGTTCACCAGCACACTTGTTAACAAGTCCCGTTTGCTTCCGTCCTTTTTTGTGTGTAATAAAGTCAACTGACCAAGTGACCATGAAGAGGGGCTTCCGGGGCTCCTGTTTGTAGCTGCTGTTCCTCTTCAGCTCCGACCATGTTGCTGTGTGATTATCTCAATTGGTTTTAATTGAGGCAGAAACTGAAGCTCTACCAATGAACTGTTTAAAAACAAGACACTTTTGTATTAAAATTGCTTGCAGTAACAAACATTTTGTATTTCCTGATTTTCTCCTCAACCATTCCCTTATATATAACATGTTGCTCTGGGATATGATTGTGTTTTAGGTACTTGAATGCATTACTGAAATCAAAATGTCTTGATGGATAAATTATGGAACTTATTAATAGATTTTTTATTTTATCCTTGTTAACTATTTAACAAGGCAACAAAGAGACAATCAAACTATTAACATGCATCTGTAGGGAATCTGCCCTACTTACATTTTTAAACAAATACCAATATGTAATATAAGAAGACTTCTATATTAGAAATCACGAGATCCTGGGATATGAGAAAATGGGACCAACTTCCCACAGTACACAGAAATTTCTGGTTAAATGGTAGAATTTCAAAGATGGCAGCAAAATTGCTCATCAAATCTAGCTCCTTTTACGGAGACAGAAACATGAATGAGAAGGTGATTTGCCTGCGATCACAGGATGACTGAGTGGCAAGCATGGCTGTGAATCTAATCTTTGACTCTATTCAAAGTTTGGCAACTGTTTCCTCCAGCCCCTCTGTTGGCTTTATAACTAAAACAGCCAAATGCTGCCCTGGCTGGTGTAGCTCAGTGGATTGAGCGTGGGCCTGTGAACCACACGATCGCGGTTCCATTTCCAGTCAGGGCACATGCCTAGGCTGCAGGCCAGTTCCCAGCAGGGGACTCATGAGAGGCAACCATACATCGATATTTCTCTCCTTCTCTCCTTCCCTTCCCCTCTAAAGATAAATTAAAAAAAAAATTAAAACAGCCAAATGCTAATTCTAACACCAGGAATGAGCCATGAGCCTAGGAAATAAGCAAGAGGGGTTGAACCCCTCAAGTTGAGGGGTTCAAACTCAGACGCCTGTATTTACTCACTAGGCTGTACTACTCCTCTTGTGTTGGGAGAATTTGGAAGATGGACCATGTGTGCCAAGGCCGTTTGAGGCCAAATACTCATTAAAATGAACCTGCAGCCTGAAGGCCTCTGAGGGAAGTGCGTACTCTGATCTGTATGGAACTGAGTAACCTTGTGTAGGACAGCATTTTCATCCAAACAGGCTCCCCCTCCAGGCCCCCTGGCTGCAGAAGCGTGCTGAAAACAGCCCGGCCTCCATCTTAGAGTTTGGACAGAGGTCAGTTTTTCTTACCAAGTCATTCAAGTTTCCCCTCAATTGAGACAAAGCTCAGCTACTGATAGAATCTTCAGAAAGTATATTTCCATTCAGCAAACACCTGTATGGAAGGATTCCAGAAAAGGGGTTAAAATAAAGTTACAGTTCTGGGACAAGGGCTGAACCAGTCATGTAAATTTGGTCTTCAGGTAGAGGATGAAGAGGGGTTACTGGGGCCTTGAATGACAGTAGCTAACATTTATTACATGCATACTGCATGCCAGTTACTATTTTAAATGCTCTATGTGCATTTTTGTTTAATCTCCATCATAAGCCTACAGTCGGGAGCCCCACAGATGAGAAAATGAGCTGAGAGAGGTTAAGTAATGACCAAGATCACAAAATTGCCAGGGAGAAGCCCTTGTTTGATACCACTTTCTCCAAGAAGTTTTTACCACCTAGTTCCCTTCCAATTCAGGATTCCACTCAGCCCACCCCAACTTCATCTTCCCTTCCAGGCACCTGCCTGCCCTTCTGTCAGAACACAATCTTCATCTGCCTTCGGGAAAGACTGTGCTCACCTGCCACCCTTTGTTAGAGTTGGGACTGCTGGGGGCAGGGAGCTGGTGAGCTTCATCTCTGATTTGGGGTGCAGCCCATTTACAGGAATATGAGGCAGTTGTGTAAAGAACACATCTATCTATTCAAACTAAATTGAGATGAATTACTTCTGCTACTACAAGAATCAGCCCAGCCTTGGCCAGGTAGTTGTCGGTTAGAGCATCACCTAGATAGGCCAAGGTTGCAGGTTTGATCCCCAGTCAGGGCACACACAGGAGTTAACCAATGAATGTATAAATAAGTGTAATAAATGTAATGTACAAACAAATCTATCTCCCTCTTTCGCTCTTAAAATGACTTTTTAAATTGACCTTTGTAATATCAAGGAAACTATGGGACTAGCTAGGTTGTGACTATATGCCATGACCAGGTTTCAGTGAGGAGTTTTTATGTCCATACCACCCTGTTGGTTACTTTCAGTCTGAGTTCCTACGGCTTGCCACTCGGGCCTCCCCCGAACTTTGATGTCAGGTTCAGTATCTGGCTCCTTTTTTGTCCATGCTATTAAATCCAGGAATTTCCGACTTGAGCCTCCTCTTCCAAGCTGCTGAGTGCCTTAATTAAAATTTGCAAGACGGTTCCCAGGCTCAGAGGAAGGGTCCCGGAACTCCTTGACAGCCTTGGAGCTGGGTGCACGACTCCTGCTCAGGCTGGCATTGTCACCAGTGTCGATAGCAGGCACAGCGAGAGCTGGCAGTAGTTGTCCTGGCTGTTGGCGCCTGGAAAATTCGGACCCATAAGTAGGTGGAGGGCTGGTTGGGCGAGAGGTCGGCCCGCGGCGCTGGTCCGCAGCACGCAGTAGCCGGGAGGGTGGGCACTTTTGCAGCAGCGATGGAGCAGGTGTCTGGGAAGGAGAATGCCTAAGCAGTGCAACCCAAAAAACGCCGGGAAGGCCGGCGAGGTGATGAGGCCTGGATGCTGGTGGCAGAGGAAGGAGCCCACTTTCTGGGCCTGGCTGGCACTCGCGGGGCCCTTCCAGACCTTGTTTCGGGTCTTGGAAGATACAACGCACCAAGGCAGAGCTGCCGGCCCACTCGCTGGCCAGACCAAGACTTGAAATTCCCTCCAGGATAGAACGCTCAAGGACACGCCCCGCGGAAGCGCCAATTAGTGCTTTCTCCTCAGCCCGCCGCTACCCTGGAGTCTCCGAAACCGCCCGCCGGTGTGGCCAGGGTCTGCGAGGGCAGCCCAGACCGACCCTGACGACCCTGACGACCCTGTCGCCTGGTCTGTGGATCCCTCGTCAAACCCGCCCATCACCCACTAGCAAGTCGAATCTCCCGGGCGCCACCACCCACGACATCAATTACAACTCGGAGCTCTCCGAGAGCGGGCGGGTTCTGCAGCGTTGGCCCCGCCCCGAAACCCCATTGGCCAGGGCCGGAGGGGCGGGGCCCGGAGGCGGGGCCCGGGACCCCAGGCGGCAGGGGCTGGGGCTCAGGGCAGAGATCGCTCTGGTCCGGCTGAGCAGGAGCTCGTGGGTCCCCACCTTCCTGAGCGCCAGGACTGCGCGGGTCTCGGCAGCAGTGGGATCGGAGGGCACAGTGGCGACAGAGAAATTAGCCGACGTTGTGCAGTCCCTGAACTAGCCTCTGCCCCAGGTGTTGGTGGCCACAGCCCCCCAACCCAGAGCCGCAGCAGCAGCCGCAGCAGGTGCCGCGCGGGGGTCTCTCCAGTGACTGCGCTGTGGCCACTGCCAACTCCCGCCCCGTCCCGCGAACCCCAGCCCGGCTCGCTGCTCGCCGTCGGGCGTCCCCCGGCCCCGGGCAGGTGGTGAAGGGGCTGCACGCCGGGTGAGCACCAGCCAGTCCCGCCCGCCATGGCCGCGCGCCCGGGGCCCCTGTGGCTCCTTGGCCTGGTGCTGTGCGCGCTCAGCGGCGGCAGCCCCAGCCCGCGCCCTGCAGCCGGCTGTCCCCAGCACCACCTGGGTCCGCACGAGCGCCGAGACCTGCAGCACGAGATCCTGGCGGTGCTCGGGCTGCCCGGGAGACCCCGGCCCCGCGCGCCGCCTGCGGCCGCCCGGCTGCCCGCGTCCGCGCCGCTCTTCATGTTGGACCTCTACCACGCCATGGCTGGCGACGACGACGAGGACGGCAGCCCCGGAGAGCGGGGCCTGGGCCACGCCGACCTGGTCATGAGCTTCGTCAACATGGGTGAGTGTGGACTCCAGGGATGGGTGCCGATGACTCAATGACAGTGCGACCTCCGCGAGAGTGCGTGTGAGGGGACGGTGAGCGAGTGTCTGGACGTCCCCACGGTGGCTCTTCAGGGAGGACATGCAGTGAGTGTCCAGGTCTGTGGAGAGAAGGATCGATGTGAGAGAAAAACATTGATAGGTTACTTTTTGAACCCACTCCCACTCGGAAATGAACCCACAACCTACGAATTTGCCCTGACCGAGAATAAAACTTACAAAATTTCTGTCTTTGGGGCCCGGGCTACAGCACCACTCTTGTTCCCCAACAACCCAGTTAACAACCAAGATGTTCAGCCGCATCTCCCAGATGAGGACAGTGAGGCCGGGGGAGGCAGTGAGTGTCACACGGAGGATGGCTTGGCCTCTGCATGGCTGAGCCAGCACAGCCCAGGGTCCGTGGCCCTACATCTGCTTCTCTGGGACATTTCTGCTGACGGGAGGGCAGGCTTTCAGGGTGCAGGGAGCCTCCAGAGGGGTTTAGGCAGAGGAGCCCAGGCACTGGAGCAGCAGCAGGTAGTGTGGGGTCTCAGCCATTTGCTTCCTACAGGAGGGTAGGAAGAGGGGGCAGCCAAACAGGCCTCTGTCCCTCAACCCAGAGCTGGCGGTGGGCTGAGCTGGGGGAGTGAGCAGCTGTTACCCTCTGCTGACAGCCCAACGCCAGGCACAGGACTTGGGTCACTGGGTCCTGGATGCTGCCTTCCTGTTAGAGGGCAGGGTGGGGACTAGGGACAGAGTATGTGGAACTGAGACTGGAGTTCTGTCCTTGGGACAAGCTGACCCAGGGCTCAGGACCAAGAAGAGCTGTGGATGGAGTCACCCGGAAAATGCCCCCAAGGGAGCCATCTGTTAGAGTGAGTCACCGCCCAGCCCACGTCCTGCTTCCCCCAGCATCCCCTGGGTCAAGGCGTGCACAGCCCTGGTGGGAGCGGCGGCTGTGAGCCAAGCAGTGCCCTGACCTCAGGAAGACCTGGTCCCCCCCCTGGCTCTGCTGTGTGATCTTAGGCTAGTCCCTCCCCAATCTGAACTTCAGGTCCCTCCGTGTGAGATGGGGTTCCTAGTGAGCAGTGCGTAGTCCTCGGAGGTGTGTGATTGGTTGATGCCTGGGAGGAGCAGAAAGTCACCCCCTTCCTCAGGATGAACCTGGGCCTCATCACTGCAGACTCCAGTTCCTCCCAGCTGGTGCCCAGCCCTGGGATGGATGTGACAGGAACGTCTGTCCCCATGCGTCTTATACACATGTGCAACCCAGAAAAGATTTGAAAAGCCAGTCAAAGGTGTCTCCACCCATTTTTAGAATAAAAACTAGCACTTGAAGTTCCATAGCTTTGTAAGTCCTCATTTCATCCAGCCTCATTTCATGGGCTCAGAGAGGTTGAATGGCCAGCCCAGGGCCACACAGCAAGTACATGACATCATCCAGGCAGTGGTTTCCAACCCCAGCTTCTTCCCCCACCATCTCTGCGTGTTGCATTAAGATCTGAGGCCTGTGGGGTCAACAAGCCTGTCCTTGTTCAGTGGAAGCCCAGTTGTGGGCGGGCCCCTCTGGCTGTCAGAGGGCCTTCTTTATTCTGATGTGCTAATTGCACTGGTAGAAATCTCAGGGAGAGTGGTTTTAACTGGTGTGAGGGATTAGACACCTAGCAGGACTCTTCCTTGTTTGGAGGCCCAGAACCCCTGGCCCCTGGACCTCCATGGAGTCTAATAGCAGAGTTGCTGTTCTATCAGCACCATGCCTGCTGCCTCTTGCTCTGCCTCCCTTATCGGCCTCATCTGGCTCCTGAGAAGCCAGGCCTGGTCCAGGCCAGGTCCTGACCCTCCGTGGTAGCCTGTGGGACCCGGAGACCATGGACCTCTCTCAGGCCACCAGTGCATGGGCCGGGCCTTGTGTCTGAGTGGATGCTTTAGGGGCCTGTGCCATGATGGACAGTGCCTGTGTTAGGAGGTCAGGGATGTGGTCAGGGCTGGCGGCCCTGCCTGGCCTGTCTGTCAATCAGCCTTGTAGAATCTTGGCTTCCCATGGCCAGAACACAGTAATGGGGGCCGATCCATGCCAACGTGGAGCAGACAGAGCCTCTCCCTGGCGTTGCCTGTGCTCAGGGAGAGGACAGGAGACAGCACCAGGGACTTGTCCTGTCAGAACTTCATTGATTCCTTCATGTCCTGAGTCATGTCCTTTCCCTGCTCTCAGCCTCTGGTTTTCCATCCAGTCTATAGTGATGGTGTCGGAAAAATGAGGAGCCTCCCAGCTTGGACCCTGTGGCTCCGTCGGAGGTACATTCTTACAACACCGTTTCTGCCCCTGGGCGCCTCGGGCCCGCTGAGCCCCTCCTGACGGAGGAAACAGGCAGAAAGGAGCAACTCGGCTTATTTCCCCAGAATCCTCCACTCTCTCCAGAGAGAGAGGCGGGGCTCAGTGGGAACGAGGGGTGCGGCCCAGGTCCAGCTCAGCCCTGTGACCTTGAAGGGCCAACTCTTCACCTCCACAAGCCTCAGGGTCACTTTCTTTGGTTCTTCACTAGGGAATTCTTTCATTTTCTTCAGCAATTCACTCAATAAATAGTCACGTGGTACGGTACCCACCCTGTGGGGCTGCTCAGGGGTCGTGCGAGATGACACTGAGGGGCCACCCCATGCCCAGACCCCCACATCTGTTTCTTCATTTCCATCTCAGACTTACTGTCACATCTTAGTTCTAAAGAGGCTCAGAGAAGTTAGGTAGTTTTCCCAAGGCCACACAGCAGGTGATCTCCCCACACCCTCTGCTCTTTTCCTACATAGGGACTGCCTTTCCACCACCCCAAGGCCTGGGAGAATCGGACAGTACTGAACATATGTTATAAACTGAATTTTTTAAAAGATTTTATTTATTTATTTTTAGACAGAGGGGAAGGGTGGGAGAAAGAGTGAAACATCGGTGTGTGGTTGCCTCTCACACGCCCTCTACTGGGGACCTGGCCTGCAACCCAGGCATGTGTGTACATAGGGACTGAACCAGCAACACTTTGGTTCACAGGCTGGCGCTCAACCCACTGAGCCACACCAGCCAGGGCTGAGAATTCTGTTTTTAAAGTGTCTATTGTTTGGGGGTTTACAGAACTACCACATATTCATTATACAAAGTTCAGACTTCACAGGAACATGTAACATGAGTGCCCCTCGGAGTCCTCGTAGCCAGTCACCACAGACAGCCACTGTCTCGTCTCTGTCACCACGTGACCATTTGGCCTGTGCTCTGGATTTCACGTGAATAAAATCATACTGTGCACACTCCATTGTATGGTTTTTCACTCCACATTGATGTTTTTAGACTAATCTGTAATATTGTATCTGTAGTTCTTTTTAATAAATGAGTTGCATTGCGTTGCGCGTCTGCACCACATTTATTCCTTCTCACTAATGGACACGTGGCTTGTTTCCAGTTTGGGGTTATGAATAAAGCTTCTCTGAGCATCTTCATCCTCTTCACTCTGTGGTTATTTTAAACCTGGATGTTCATCCCAACTCTGCCAGTTGGGAGCTGTGAGACAGGACCCCTTTCAAAGTCCCTGAGTCTCATTTCCTCACTTTTAAGATGCCTTTAAGATGCATGAGGCCTACCTTCCAGGGCAGTGCAGGACTAAGCAAAATGTGCACTGAGGCCAGCTGGCTGTGCACCACACAGCAGGAGCTTTGTAATCGGGAGCCAATTGATACAGTACTTCCCACTCAGTGCCTTTGCTCGTGTTATACCCTCTGCCTAGACTCTCCTCACCTCCACTTCTGTCTTTATTATTTTTATAATATATTTTATTGATTATTCTATTACATTTATCCCTTCCCCCCCCCCTTCGTTCCCCTCCACCCTGCGCACCCTCTCCTACCCACATTCCCCTCTTTAGTTCATGTCCATGTGTCATACTTATAAGTTCTTGGCTTCTACATTTCCTATACTATTCTTGCCCTTCCCCTGTCTATTTTCTGCTTGCCATCTATGCTACTTATTTTCTGTACTTTCTCCCCCCTTCTCCTCTTCCCACTCCCCTGTTGCTAACCCTCCGTGTGATCTCCATTTCTGTGGTTCTGTTCCTATTCTAGTTGTTAGCTTAGTTTGCTTTTGTTTTAGGTGTGGTTATTAATAACTGTGAGTTTGCTGTCTTTTTACTGTACATGTTTTTTATCTTCTTTTTCCTAGATAAGTCCCTTTAACATTTCATATAATAAGGGTACCCCTTCTGGTACCCCTATAATTCAGATGTTGGAACATTTAAAGATGTCCTGGAGGTTCCTAAGCCTCTCCTCATCTTTTTGAATTCTAATTTCTTCATTCTTTTCTGAATGGATGTTTCTTTCTTCCTTCTGGTCCACTCCATTAATTTGAGTCCCAGTTTCCTTCCCATCACGATTGGTTCCCTGTACATTTTCCTTTATTTCCCTTAGCGTAGCCTTCATTTTCTCATCTAATTTCTGACCAAATTCAACCAATTCTGTGAGCGTCCTGATTACCAGTGTTTTGAACTGTGCATCTGATAGGTTGGCTACCTCTTCGTTGCTTAGTTGTATTTTTTCTGGAGCTTTGATCTGTTCTTTCATTTGGGCCATTTTTTTTTGTCTTGACGTGCCTATTATGTAGTGAGAGGCAAAGCCTTAGATGTTCACCAGGGCGGAGCAACCCGTGTCACTGGGTCGTGGTAGGGGTCTGAGAGGGAACAATGGCGCTTACCGCCCTCTCTGCCAGTTTTTAGTCACTTTTCCCGCTTCCCCCAAGCAAACCTGACCCTTCCATGCTGATTCCCATGGGTGGGCTTGTGTGCATTCTAGGACCCTGTGGGTCTCTCTAACAAACTCTCCCGTGAGGCTGGGAATCTCTCCCTGCACCTCAACCTCCACAAGTGTTTTCAATTGGTGCTTTTAGGCTTTATTTCCCTGCACTGGGGCCCTGGGTTGCACAGTCTGTCTCGCTCCCCAGTTTCGCCTGGT